AAAAAAAAAAAAAAAAAAGCTGATCATAAAATATAAATACAAAATTACCTCAACCTGTAAAAGTAATAACATATACTATGCACAGGAAAGACAAGAAAATAGGCCAAAATGTTAACTGTGAGCTAACTCAAAATGATTATATAATTTATATTTGTATTTTTTTCACTTTTCCAAATTTTCCTCAGTGAGCACAAAGGGCTTTCATAATTAGAGAAACAACCATTGAAAACAAAAGGAAGAACACATAACCAGTGGACACCCCTTCCCAGGGCTCCCCTACCACAGTGTCTGTAGGGCCTTTCTGGAATTACCTGGTCAGCCTGCTCCGTAAATGAGTCTGTCATTTTAACAACGACACTAGCGCTGGCCTCTTCATTTTCCACCACATCGATGCTGGCAACCCACTGGAGCGAAGGAGACAATAGCTTCGGTCACGAGACAGTTTGTTATTCCTTTAAAGATCCACACCAAAAATGCGGGGAGCGCAGGCAGATTAGGACACTTACACGAAACCCCACTAGAGAAAGTAACTAGCAACTGACCTCTCGCACTCCCTACAGGGACATCTGGTTTGGACAGCCTACCCCATAACTGTGTCCCAACCCAGCCCAGCCTGCCCCCAAACACTCCGCTTCCTCCTCCTCGCTCACCTTTAAAAGCCAAACTCTGCACTTCTAGATACACCAGGGGTCAGCGAATGTTCTCTATAGACCAGATACTAATTATTTTACGCTTTGTTGGCCGTATGGTCTGTTGTCACTACTCAAATCATAGCTATAAATGAGGAAACAAACGACCACGGCTATCATTATTCCCATTTTACAGATGGGGAAACTGAGGTTTGAGGGTGTTAAGTAATCGATATGCGGTCATAGGATGAGTAACCCGGGCCAGGCGGTCCCATTCCAGTATCTTCCTTCTGCATTCTCACTCCCTGCTCCCTCGCCCCAGCTCCGCTACCTCCCTCTTTGGAATCTTCTTCAGAGTCCTACCGGACTCTCTGGGCCTGACTGAGGCCAAGGAAGCACCCTACACCACCACTCTCCTTGCGGAGCAAAGGCCCCGCACCTAGGGGGTCCGGCGTTCGCACGCATTCGGGGACAGGAATCGATGTGTAGACCCGTGCGTGCACGTGCAAGCACCATCAGGGGTGCACAGGGGCCACCAGCTGCATAACCAGGCTGCCTCTCGGCTGCACCTAAAAACCCCTTGGCCTCCAATCACCACCCTGCCCGCCATCCCGGCGGAGAGCCGGCAGCGCCCAGCCCGGCATTACCCAGTTGCAGGCTCGGAACGCCTGCACGCATCGCGAGCCCAGCGCGCCCCTGCCACCGTACACCAGCACCCGGCGCGCCTCGCCCGCAGCCGCCGCCGCCATCCTGCTCCTCCCGCGCGACTCCCGCAGCTCCGAGTGCCCCGAGCCCGAGCGCCGTGCCCCGCCCCGGCCGCCGACCCCGCCAAGAG